ACTAACCCGGAACGAGCCACAGATACCGATGATAACAGAGCTATTCTGGGAATACCGCTTAGGGTTGAAGTCAATCTAACCATTTACGGGTCGGAACAACGCTTTTATTATATTATCACACCATTTGTACAACACGCGAATCAAAACCACAAAACATTGTCTTTTATTGTGATATAAAAAGCCCGTTCCCTCTCATGTCTCGCTTTTTTCTATTGATTTTCTTTTTTCGTTATTTTATTAGTTGTAATATTTTTATTATTTTCGTCTGGTTTTGTCTTTTAAGCAAATCTCTCTCTCTCTCTCTCTCTCTCTCTCTCTCTCTCTCTCCATATGTTATATACAGTAATATATTGTTTTCCTTTGCCAACAAATATAAGTTAAAGTGAATATACAGTATATTCTGTACATACTGTATATTCTGTATTCAAACACAAATTCTCATGCGTTTTGTATTCGCTGTACATCTGATACACAGGGTTTCAGATCCAGACGTGTTGTCATTCAACGCTACGGCAGAGACTTTTGTGACACCGAAACAAGTATTAGAAGACATTGGACGCGAGATAAGCCATTCGTATACAATACAAAACAGAGGGCCCTCGACCATCAAAAGGGCTGACGTGACCATTCTGTGGCCGACACGGGATTTGAGGGGCAATTACTTATTATATCTGGTCGACCAGCCCATCGTTAGGAGTAAACCCAACAAAGGCTTCTGCAAAAGCATTACTCTCGACGACTTAAATCCATTAGGACTTAGAGTATGTCTATCCTCTCACTCACACATATGTGACCAAACATTATGTGATCCCTATTTCTCTCACTCCTATTCCTATTCTCTTATTCACCGAAATTCTGTTAACTTGTCATAAATTTTTATGTATTTCTGTTGTATTCATACAATTGTTTTGTACATTGATTTGGTTGCAGTCAAAAAAGACCGATCAAACCGACAATCGACTGCCATATGATTCCCAGCCCAGCACTCAGGACCACAACACGCGATATATACGACAATATGATAATAGGAAGGATATTATCAGCTCAAGACATACTAGAGATACCACAAACAAGTTTCAGCTACCGGCGTCCAAAAAGCCCCGGATCAGTGATCCCCTAACTATAGAACAGGCAAAAGTATGTCAATATAATACTCAACACATGTCTCTATTATTAGAACATTAACTCTAAGTCTTTGCATAGTTTTTACAAAAACACATTAATTTGCGTTCACTTGAAACAAAT